TCATAATTTCAGCGGGAGGGAGGGGAACAGCAGAACAGCAGAGTGGCGAAGGAGAGCTGTCTTCTTCCCTTTACAAGCTTCAAAAATGTATTTATCGTGTGATTTTGGAAATAAAAGTGTCATATTCTGAAAGCCAAGACTTTGTTTATTTAAAATAAAACACCCGAAATAAAAAAATATATATTCAAAAAAAAAAAAATGTTATTGGCTCATCATAGGCCCCCGATCTCCGTAGGCCCCTGGGCTTCAGCCCAGGTCAGCCCGTGCATTAAGGTGGCCCTGGTCACAGCCTACCACGGCTGCCATGAGGAGGAGAAGAGAAAATGATGATAAGGAATTGAATAGAATTGAAAACGGGATAAAGTAGATTAGAATGGACAAGAATAGAAAAGAAAATAATAGATGATACGTGTAATTCCTTTATTGTCAATGCAACAGGTACAACAAAAATAAAAAATGCAATCCTGTCAACCTTTTTCACATATCAACAAGCAATAAAAACAATACATATAAAAATATATAATTGTAAAAATGTATAATTTACAAATAAGATAACAGATACTAATAATTATAATAATAATAATATTAACACCATTTTAATTACATTACAATTAAAATAAAGGCATAATACATATACATAAATAAATATGTATTGATGAATTGTAGTGCACTTGCAATTCGTCTATAACTGTTTTTGTTTTAGTGTTGGTTCAGTGTTCGACGTTATCCTGCGTTGGGATGCCTCTGGTGTAAAAGCTATTTTTCTTGACCATTCTGTTCTCCACAGGGTCTCACATGCTGCCCAGTTATTACGGCATGAGGCGCTCCTTCATCTCGGACTCAGACTTCTGCCCGTCCACTAAGCAGTTCTCCCCTGATGTGTACTCCCCCTCGCTGGGGGGTAAGCCCCTGGGCTGCGAGCCCTCCTCCATGAGCAGCTACTCCTCCTTCATCGACAGCTACTACCCGGAGACCTTCGGGGATTACCGCAGCGCCGCCGCCTTCTCCAGCTCCGGAGGCTCTTTCCTGCCCTCCTCCGCCCTCTCATCCCTGCTGCCGCCCTTCACTGGAGAGTCCTCACACTTATTTCTGGTAGGACAGGGTCTCTCTCTCTGTGTGTGTGTGTGTGTGTGTGTGTGTGTGTGTGTGTGTGTGTGTGTGTGTGTGTGTGTGTGTGTGTGTGTGTGTGTGTGTGTGTGTGTGTGGCCTGATTATGCTTTTGGGGTCCTCCCTTTCCTGTAGTGTGTTATACAGGTTTGTGTGCATGTAAATGGTCTGCAAAGGCTAAAATCCCAATGTTCCCTCCAGAGGGAGTTTCTCTCTCTCTCTTGTGTGTTGTTTATGTTTTTGTTTTAGAAATGTATGCCTTTCTTTTCAGAGTGTGTTTTCAGTGTGCTTGATGACCAAAAAAAATAAATTGTAATTCACCCTGTAGTGTCACTTCTGGTTAAAGAAAACAAGACTTTAAGGGCTAAAAGGCTAATGAGGTGTGTGTTAGCAATGTATATAACAGTTTAGCTTAAGTGGCTGCCTGTTTTAAATCACATTCTAATTGGAGCATATATTTGCCATGAGGTATATATCATATTTTGAGTTTGTTGAGTTGCTGCACTGTTTTAGCACGAGACCCTGAGACCAACAAATCAGTAACTCAGAAATATCTCGAAATACTTTTACATTTCCGATTCATTGAGAATATAGAAACAGTGTTGAAAGGAGATTTTTTACGAATGCCTTTAATGATTTAGTTACAAAAATCAAAGAGGTGACATCACATTGAATACATCCAATTAATTTGCACAGCTTAACCATCGCTTTTACATCCTGGATGTCTTTTTCATTCTGGGAAACAGGACAACAGTGTATAAAGTTAAAGGAAAATATGAATGAGTCAAAGAACATATATTCCAATATCATGAACAGACAGTGTTCACTTCCTGTAGTCAGCAGAGGAAATGATTGAGTGATCTCTTTACTTCCTGCCTCAGAGGGACTCATGGGAGCAGTCTGTTCCTGAGCCGGTCTCCCAGGTGGAGGCTCTGTGTCCGGACAGCCTGGCCTCTGTCAGCGTGCCACCCTCCATGCCCAGCCCGGACCCCCCGGGGAGCCCGTCCCAGTACCGCTCCCCCAGCCGAGGCTCCTCCATGGGCCAAGTCTCCAGCAGCCAGCCCTACACCCTGCACTCCCTGGAGGAAGCCCACTACCACCCCCTGAGCACCAGCAGCACCTACACGGTCCCCAACAGCTCCTTCCCCTGCCCCTCTTACATGGGCGTCCCCATCAGCGACCTGGTGTCAAAAATGGTGACAGACGAGGCCTCCAGCCTCCCGCCCAACGGAGAGGCGCACTCCTCCTGGGCCAAAGAGGACGGAGTGAGCTCCTGGTCGCCATACGAGATCAGGAGGGCCTACTGACCGCAGGAGGGTCTCCATCTCTAACAAGATGGAGGTCTCACAGACTATTGAACACTGAGCAAGCACTTGACAGAACAGAGAAGACTCAAACATCTGTAAAAGTGTGATTTGAAGACAATTTCCGCCATGTACAAAGAGAGGATTCAAGTTTTGTTAGTGAAGTAGCATAGTTTGACCAAAGTGAAATGTATACTTATTTGTAAAAAACTAAATCCAAAGCATGTGTGTCCTTTTTGCTTGATTTGTAACACACCTATAAGCCTTAAAATAAAAATTAAATAAACAATATATATGAAGTTAACCAATTTGTGCCAAAAAAAGAGCAATAAGAATGATAAGAAGAGAAAAATAGTGGCTAGTGGTGGTCTAATGGATAGTGAGGTGGGCTGAAGATTGGAAGGTTGTGAGTTCAAATCCCGCCATGAACACCAGCACTAGTGTGCCCTTGAGCAAGGCACTTAATCCGTAGTTACTCCAGGGAGAATGTCCCTGTAATCGGTAATTGTAAGTCGCTTTGGATAAAAGCGTCAGCTAAATGAAATGTAAAAAATGCCACACATATTTTTCTGATCAAGTGAAAAATGTAATTTGTATCAAGGAATGAAGAAAAGCGCTAACATTGTGTTTGTTAAATCTTTTCATATACATTTGTTTACACTGAACATGTGTATATATCTTTGATTTTTAACTTATGGGTTTTCAGATACCAAAAACATGACTTACTTTATTGCAGTTTCTAAGATATGGACATTTTCTTTGCAAATTTTAGTCTTTGGGCACATCAGACTTCTGTCCCTAAAATATAATGAAGGTTGTAACGTCCAGCTTCTGGTCATCTCAGATGTGCAATAGCATTCAAAATCACCATACAAACACACTATAACTATTCTGAAGTTGTAATTACATGTGAGGAAATGTGTTGGTGTTTCATTTTGTTTTGGTTGACACCTATGATTGAAAAAGGACAGAGTATCCTGCCATAAAATATCATTGATGTTGAAAAGATAACAGAAATTAAAACACCTTTAATGCTAACATTCTTTCACACATTGTATTAAAATGTACAACACAAATCTTTAATGCAAAAATGATTTTTTCTTCTAAAGATTGTTTGATGAATACAGTCAGCACTGTTTGATGTATAAAATATACTTTTCACTTATGTGAGCTCCATATTTTTTACCCCATTGTGTTGGAAATCATTTTAGGTTTGAATATCTCATTTACTTTACAGTTAATCAGGAATACAATAAGATTTATAATGGTGTGATATCCTCTCCGATGACAAGTGATTTTCGATGATTAAATATGTTATTAACTGTCTACTATACACCAGTTATGAATGATTCTTGAGAGCAGTAATCAAAAACATTAATAAACACATTCAAATATCATTATATATGCCTACACCAACACTTGTGTGTGTTATAAACCATTTAAAAAGTGTGTGTGAGTAGTTTTAATAAATGCTAAATATGGGAGATAATATTAAATATTATCGAATAAAAATAGCACTTATTTTTCATCAAGCTTTTCAACCAAGCAGTGGTGAAAGGAGCACTCTGAATGTTTTATTAGGTAAAGTAAGACTCTGTTACAAGTAGTACAAGGAAAAGTCTGGCATTCAAAATCTTACGTGAGTAAAACTACAAGTACAAGTATCAATATACTTCTAGCAACAAAACTGAAAGTACTCATTATACAAATGGGCCATTTCCAGAAAGAAAAAAACGTTTTATATCCCAGGATTATAATTAGTGTTCCATTAATGTGTACATCATTTTTGGGAGGAGGGCTAACTTTAATCACTTTTTGTACAATCATAATTCATTTGTTTAATTATTTTTTGCAATAATAATATGAACCTGCAGAAACCAATCCTTGTGTATATAT